GGGATGCATATCAGTGATTATGATGGTGGTTACTTTTTTGATCAATCGTTTTTAAGGAAAGAGAAAACTTGAAGAAATCAAAGTGTTGAAATTCGGCCAGAAATTATGGATCAACAACCTTTGAGCGTCTGCTTCAGGAGTTTTTCGCGGCATCAGCTGTTCAACCGTGGTCTACCGGGACTATATTGTCGTCCGCACGAGGACAGGGATAATCCCGATCGAAAGTTCGAGCAGTTTGAATTTGGAGACAAGATCGCTGAATCGCTCAAGGAGGTATGTTCTCAATAACTATTGCCTAGAAGCAGATCGTGGCAATACTAAGGTGGACTGAATGTTTTGGTTTTCGCGGCAGAATGTTTGTTTGCATATTTCTCAAAAAGAAAAAGTCATAATGAGATTAAGTAATCACCTGGACTCCTATAATTACGTACGCAACTCCACTCAGGTGTCGGCGCTGAATCTCAAGAACTCACTAAGCTAAGGCAGGCACTGTGGTTCGAAATTGTTCCTTCTCGCAGCAGTGCTGAAGACATCCTAAAACATGGTAGACGCTTGGATTTATGATTAGACCAGTAGAATATAGGGGACGAAGGAACCACTGCTCCGTAAAGCAGGTCGTGTTCCCTTAGATTCTTATGACTTCTCGTCATCACAAGTGAGACCCGTTTTATGTCTAGGAGAAGCCGATGAAATGGCGCACAACATACAGTAGCGGTCAAAAGTGTTCGCCGAAACGTTTTTTTTTTCGTGCATCGTTTTTTCTCCCTTAAACAGTGCCCTTCATGTATTGATAAAACATCTTGACTATTGAACAGTTTAGATATCTGAAAGAAAGGCTTCAAACTAAACTTTAGGTTTTTCTCTAGAGGGAAGAAATGAAATGCACGAAAAGCATTTCGGCGAACACTTTTGACCGCTACTATATGTTCCAGTTCAGAAGCACTTGTGGCCGAGGTGACCAGAAGTGGTCCGCATGCCTGTTACGCTTGACACTAGTTCCCATCGATATAAGTGTTTTGAGCCTGCGGCAACTATTTCCGCTCCTTTCAAAATCAAAAACTTTCCCAGTGAACGCTTAAAAAAAATCATATGCTAGGCAGGTCAACGCGTCGCGCGTTCTGGACAAAAGTCCAACGGGGGGGTCGTATTTGCCGACGCCTAGAAGGGGGTTCCGTTATTCGCAGGAGTCTAACCGCTCGTGCAAGTCTACAATAAGAAGTTTTTTGGGTACGAGAGGTGGTTTTTCGCTATAAGGAAACCTAATGTGTGTTGTGATGAAGCTCGCAGCTGTTGGCTCTTGCTGGGACCATCGAACGATTTTAATCAAGACGTTAGTTCTCGCGACAGAAGGGGAGAGGTTAATCTTGTGAGTGCTTCTTCAATTATTAAGCACAAACGAGTGCATGGCGCACATCAGAGCAGAAAAGTCTGCTGCGAAAGTATCCATATTTGACTGCGCACGTACACAAATATAATCCTAGAGGTGAACCAATGCCTTCAAACTGGACCTAAGTTAATAAAAGAGCTGACCTCTTTGGTAGATTGACTGCTGAGAAAAGTTTGGGAACAAAAATATTTGCCTGTCGGCAAATTCTTGAAATGGATTTAGCATCTGTAATGAAGCACAGAGCTCGTGCGATGTCACGGTATCATAATTCCCGATAAAATTGAGTTTGAAGAGAGTTGTCAGTGTTTAAGTGTTGAAAACCTGTGTTTTCAGGAGAGTAGCGCCGAAAATTCATGGAAAAACAAACGGTCCAACGGGGCGATTTTCTGACTCCTTCAACTTTGGGAAGAGAAAAAGTATTCGTTGCTAAGCCCCAACCTTCTACTCCAATCCAGGGGGACAAGAACTGCAAAAAGTTCAATGTGAAAAAAGTTATAACAATTTAAAGCCAAAAAACCAGCGCTCTGCAAAAAATCGGTCCGCGATTTCTCAAAACGGTCCAACGGGGCGATTTTTTGACTCCTTCAACTTTGAGAGGAGTTCAAGTATTTGTTAGAAAGCTCTAACCTTCTTCTTCAACCCAGGGGGACAAGAATCGCAGAAGGTGGAATTTGAATAAAGTTATAACCATTGGAAGCCAAAAAAAACCTGGTCTTGCGAAAAAACGGTCCAACGGGGCAATTTTTTGAAGGAAAGAGTTTTTGCAAAAGCTTGAGCACTTTTAGAAAGAAAACAGTCTGAGCTTTCCAATTTTTCTTACCGCTCCTCATAATTCCTTGTTTGAAGAAAGTTACAACCTTTTAAAGGACGAAGTGTGCATTTCTGTGAATTCTCTGTTTTCTACCTCATAACTGACGCAGTTTTGAAGATGAAGCATAACCGTGGTCACCTTCTGAAACAAGCAGATAATATGTAAGACTTACACAAATCTACTTAGCAATTCAAAAAATGTTGATATTGAACAAAATTACGTTTATTTGAAAGTGAATAGTCGGTTTCTCGCTGCCCGCGCTGCGCCGAGGGGAAGATTGCGCGCGCCAATGCGAATGCAACGCTCCCGTGCTCCAATCGGACACTTCTGCGGTATAGTCTCATGCTCTGAGATGCGCCATGCACTCGTTTGATATGCGCATGCATATCGAAATGGAAATTTTTTGTGATTTTGAACGCCCATTCATGAAAAGGCAGGCAAAGCGCCATTCGAACTAAAGGGCAGTACTGTCTAGCAACTAATGAAGGCAGTTCGTTTTGCGATGTTGTGCATTAGTGAATTACCGGATATCAGGAAACTAGAGCTCGTCTGCTAACTGTGTTTGAATTCAAGCCAAGTGTCTTTAGATTTTTTTAGATTGCACTTATTTCCCCCCCCGTTAGCTCTCTCCTTAGCAGTGTACAGTACATAATGAATGCGGGGGGGGGGTCGATAATGCGATGAACCCTCCAAAGAGGGGGGGCGTCATAAAATTTGAAATTCAGTCACCAAACGGACTCGGTGAATGGACCCCCTGTGTAAGCGCTTAAATAAACGTCAGAGTTTTCGTGATCTCAGAGGAGTAATCCGCCTGATCCATACAAATTTAGTTCGCTGACTTTGTGACACATTTCGTCCAAGGTCCAGGCGAAATGTCTGAAGGATAATCGGACCCTGGTTGTGTTTGTTGCCTTCGCGCATATATCTTCTGGAATATAGAGTGACTCGTATGATGATATGACAAACATTATAACAGCAAGCGACATAGTGATTAATTTGAAACCCAACTAGAGTGGCACCGTTGTAGAGCTGTGGGCGTAGTTAACAGAGCTTGAGCAAAGAGGAAGTGCAGAAAGTTCCGCGACACTTTCGAGAGGAGTCGGTATTTATGCGTCTCTGCCCATGTGATGGTCCGCTTCAGCGAACGTCTCTACTTCGCACCACATGCTAAGAAGTGGCTGGGTTAGTGAGGTGCAACGGGAGTGGCGAAGCTTTTCTCAATATTACGACTCTGATTATTACGACCAGGTCAAAGAGAGTTTCCAACTGGACAGTTTCCCTTGACGCTGCTTATGCGACGGTGTATAAACGGACAGCGATGTAACGATAAAGAGGGAGTACACTGGGAAGGGATATTCGGTACACGAAGCAATTACTTGGCTACCAAGAAGCATAATGTGGCGCTTTCACGGCGAAAGCTGCGCTGATTGCCAAACCATACTCGAAAAGCGCTCCGCTTCAAAAGCGTTCTACCCACGAGTTTGATTGGTGATTTGGACGAGTTGTGTTGCCAGCAGCGACACTATTGGAGTAACGCGACTAGTAATATGACGACTAATAATAGACCTATCCAACATTCAGCATACGGCCCTAGGCATGGGCTAATATGGTGCCAGCAAACGTGTTGCGGCAGACTCGTCCATACGTCCACCGCCCCAGTCACTCCCCGTCCTTGAGCGAAGATCAGCGGCCAAGAGAAACGGTCCTTTTCGTGTTTTCTTGACAAATTTCTCTGCGTTTTTCCGCAATTGGCGTACCACTGAGCACCACATGTACGCGGCTGCCTATACGATAATTCGCGGCGGCCAGGAGGTGTACAATTTGGTGGATTTATCTTAGGTAAGCCTGTTGCCGATTACCCCACCTCGATGGGATGAAGAAATAGTAGAACTTTGTTGGCCAGGATGGCTAGAAAGATCTAATACTCAGACCGTGTGCTCGGCTAGAGGACTAATTACCACTTCTCCACCCTATGGAACGCACATATGCTTACTTTGGAAAGTCGGCAATACGTTTTGCTTACTCCTTGTGCTTATCGGCACAATCATTCTTAACTTACGTTCCAAAAAACGCTGAGAAAAGCCTTCATTTCAAGAAAAATTTGCTCGGTTGATCCTAACACTGTAGACACTATAGTCATTACTACCACTGCTGTCTATAGCGGTGGTTCACTACTCTCAAAGCTCAGTGAGAGCTTCGAGCAAAGCGCGCTTCCCATTACTGGTCGCAAGCGTTTTCCGCCTTCAGTAAGTTTGTTTTGAGGTGGTCTTGACTCACGACGATGGAACTCTCACAGGGCGAATTCAATTTGATCCTCACACTGGATGGCGTACTAATTTTTCGGTTACGGTTATCGAAATCAAACCTGGTGTAAATACGCTGAATAGCATCAAAGAGGTGGGGTCGTCGAGTTACTCTTCACTTATCAATCTTTAAAGTCATCATACACCAGTTTTATAGCGATTTCAATGGGCTCAAGGGAAAGGATTCCTGCTTGGAGAGGAGAGAACCTTTCACGAGAATAGACCTAACAAAAGCGCCATTCGAAAAGGCATTCTCGCGAACAAGCCATGGAAATTGAAATTGAACGTCGTCACTGTGCTGGTGAGTTACACAATTTGAAGAACAGGTTATTCACTTTTGGTAAATATAGATAAACTTAGCTTCTTTATTGCCATCCACTCATCTTTGCGGAGAGAATTCATAAGAAGTTGGAGACTCGGGCTGACAGTTCTTACAGCTCCGCTCTGTGACCCTAACCTCTTGCAAACGAGCAACCTCCTACTATGCTTTATAGCACTCTTTACTTGGATGAAACCTTGTGTTAATTGAGTGGGATTTAGTAAAAAAAAAGAGGTAGCGACCAGGCCTTACCTACAATATTTTGCAGAGAGTGATGGTGTATGTGTGTTTGTATACGCAAGTACTTCGGAAAAATAATTAAAGAAATCGAAATCGAACCCAGAGGTGACTCCCTAATTGCTGGACAGTAAAATTTCTGGAAGAGCAGCTCTAATTTCGTGGTCCTCATCTTAACACGTTGACGACATCGCGCGTTTTGGTTTTTGCACCGCGTGGGACCAGAGCGATTTTGCGAGCGCCGCCGCCGCACACCAAATCCATGGATTTTGAGCTGTAAATACGCAATACTTAGATGCGATGAAGTGTTTTCAATAATGTTCGATCTGTCTAACTTATCGGAGTTACAGTAATGGAAGTTTGACCGAAATGACGTGTTAAGGCCATGAAAAGGCAAATTTTACTTACTTTCCCTTTAGTGGTTCCAAAATTAATTTGGACGTGGTTGTTTCAGTAAAAACACATATCTTCCCATACGAATAGGTTTGTATTCACTTCTATTATTCCTTTTTATCAACATGTTTACGTTAATGAAAAGAAAACGAGGAATGAACTGAACAGACATATCCGTAAGGTCTGGAAAACCTCTGCCAAACTAAAGAATATTTGGCCTTTCTGTGAGCCATGTGGTTTTTAAGTATGCTAATGTATGGCCTATAGAATGAGTACAAGAACCTTAGAAAATAAGTCACTTATTTTCCTATCCCTTCGATTTGTATTTACTTTCACTACCTTTCTCACTGACATGTTCATGAGAATAGGAAGAAAACGAGGAATGAACCGAGCTGCCAATTTCGCTGTGCTTAAAAAACTTCTGCTAAACTGGAGCATATTTGATCATACCGTGACCCATGTCGTTTACAGTTATGTTATGTTGTAATCCATAGAGCAAGCAAATTGGGAAGAATCCCGCATACGCTAGAAAAAGGGATGACAAGGGTGAGACGCGTTAACCGCGTCTCAATGTCCACGAGGTGCGCAAAGTGAGACGCGTTACCGCGTCACGCTGTCGTCAACGTGTTAATGTACCTGAAGAAATCGAAGGAACTAAGAAGGTGCAGCATTTTTTACACTGACCTGCACTTTTCCTATGATTAACCATGAAGCCGCAACCGGTGAATTACCCAATCGTCCCCATCCTTTCTAGGCAGGTTTCAGGCTTTACGGCCAACTGCTAACGAACCGCGCAATTACCACCTCACACCGACTTTTTCTAGCTTACCCTGCTATCAAATTGTACGAAATTGTCGATTACCTTCGTAGAGCCTTAAACGGTCATGTTTTCAGGTAAAACCGTTTGTGATGGTGAGAAGGGGCAATCCAGGTGAAGCGCCACACAAAGGCAATGACCGTTTTGAAGGCTACTGTATCGACTTGCTGAAGTTGCTGGCGAAAAACATATCTGGTTTCGAGTACGAAATCTTCGTTTCGGACGGCAACAAGTAAGAACGCATACGACTTTTGTTTCATACTTCTTTACACTAAATATGTACTTTTTCAGGTACGGAGCTAGGCAACCCGACGGTAGTTGGGATGGGATGCTCGGATATCTTCTGAACGAGGTTATGTGATTGTTTCCTTTCATTTTTTTCGGGGTTCACGGATGAACCTCTTCAAGACAAAATTCGGGATCGAACTGATGTATGTTTGCGCTTGCAAGTGACAGTCGAGATGTAAAGTGTATCGCTAGTAATGAAAAACAAGAAAAAACCATCGAAAGCACCAAAGTGAGAGCTTAGATCTAGTACAGTTAAGTATTTTTTGCTGGGCTCTATATGTTGGGCAAGGCAGAGTTACACCTTACCGGGAAATGTTTTGACTTCCCATGGAACTTTGAAAGGAGATCTATGAACATCGATAGAGTTTCGGACGCTGAGTACAAATATGGACTTTAAAACTGCTACGTGAACTTCATAAGAAAGTTACGAGCATTCAAAGTTAGGCAAAAAACGTTACTGAGGCGAGCTCACCTGATGAACACGGATGCTTTTGTCTGGTTTCTTGTTCTATAGGGTTAGCGGGTGCCCTGATTACGAATTTGATACTCGTTTTAGACGCAGACGCCCACGAGCGACGTGATTCCATCATGTTAAGCCTACTCAGTAAGCTATATAACGTTGCCAATACTTTGAACGCCTCGCTAACTTGTTACGATAAAAGTGTCACCGTAGCTGCAAAGTTTCAAATGTCCATTCTCTGGTAATCCCAAGCGTTCAGACTCTATGGACGCATCCTAAGGACTCCTTCAGCATAAGGTGGAAGCAACCCAAAGCACTTACCTCACTGACTAAGGGTAGTAAGAAACTCCGAGGCTTGCCAATTCACACTTGTGCTCAATAGCTCCGCAGACTTAAGCATCGCACTGCAATATTCCAGAAGCAAAAGATATTACCTTTTCCTGACCACAGGAATCCGGCCTTCCCTCCAGAAGGCGCATCCCCGAGATTCACGACCTGCCTAGTATAAAGCAATTGCGCGCGAGTGAACCACGTCTTTACCTAGCAAAGAGGAATGGATCGTGCGGGTAATGGTTCCAGACCTCCGCCGACCAAAACGCAACAATAGAACTCACGCTGGTACCGGCCGAGCTTGTGCTGCGACGGTGATTGCTCCGCATCTGGCAAGCTCTGTCTCGCTGTCCCCACAGGTTTGACGTTGTTGAAGTTTAGGCTCTTAATTTTATAGCGTATCGATGTTTCGTTGGCTTTTCGTCTCATCTGTCCGTTCATTCGCTCTCTAAATTATACATGAAGGATTCTTATAAGCAGCTTCATGCGGGCTTGCCAATCTAAACCAAGATGCAGCAGCACTCTGCTCAATGAATCTCTTTGTAACAGCGGATTCTGTAGCATTTGACTCTTTACATCTCTCTCTATCTCTTAAGCACACGGAAAGGTGTATGCATAGCCACTGGAACAACACGGGTTTTTAAAGTTACTTACTTAGATGTTTGAAACGAGCTTAGCGACAAGGAGGAACAAAATCTAGAGCTTGGTTTCAAAAATGGTGTAAGGAGTCTATAACAATTTTGCTACATTAGTGAAAAGGTTGATCAATGCCACATGAGATTGCGCCCTCTGTCCTTCCATAGAGGTGTGCTGTCAACTACCTGATTTGGGGCGGATGTTTCTTGGCTCAAGAACTCTGATAGAATTTCAAAAGGTGTCTTATGAAAATCCACTCACTGGTCCTCACGAACTTCCTTCCAGACTGCCGACATAGCAGTCGCTCCCTTGACCATCACACAAGAAAGAGAAAGAGCCGTGGACTTCTCGAAGCCGTTCATGACCACAGGTGAATCAAAAATACTACCTCAGCGACAGTCTGGTCCGTAACGCAAGTGGACAAGCATCCAAAATTGACTGCCTGTCCGATTGATAACTATTTTCTAGCCAGACTATTTTGCTACCTAATGTTGTAATTGAGGAATTTCAATCATGATCAAGAAGCCAGAAAAGCAAGAGTTCAATATCTTTTCGTTTATGGAGCCGCTTGGCATGAGGATTTGGATCCTCACCGTATGCTCTTATGTTGGGGTAAGTGATGAATAAATTTGCATTTAGGTTGCAGAAAACGTTGATAATTCCTCCCACAAAGTTTCTATGAACGCTTCGAAATTGCTGTCGAAATCTCGAAAAATCATTTCTACTAGTTACACCTCAGAACTTGGTAAATGAAAAAACAGTTTATTTCCACCTTCGTATTTCATTCATCTTCCATGGGCCTGATGGGCGCTGGTGCTATCCGGACCGTCAGTTGTTTTCGAGTTCCTTCTCTCCTTTCGAGAGGGTCGTATAACACCAAAGGGTAGGATAACTATGAAAGAAGCTAGTCGTACAGCCGACGACGGTCCAGGTCTAGTCACCCAATAGACTAGTCTGACCTGTGTGCCTAAGGAAGGGCTAAATTATGATTCAAAGTAAAAAAGTGCTCTATTTATAGGTGTCCCTGACTATCTTTTTGGTGTCGTCATTTTCTCCTTACGAGCAACGAGTGCAGTTCAATCATGGTGAATTTTCCGTATCGAACGAATTCTCCATGTACAACTCGCTTTGGTTCACTCTTGCTGCTTTCATGCAGCAGGGCACAGACATTCTTCCGAAGTTGGTTCCTCTAGTCCTTGCTATTTGCGTCCCGATTGGTGCGAAATCCTTCTTTTACAGAGCTCTCTCTGGCCGAATCGCATCATCTGCTTGGTGGTTCTTCACGCTGATCATCGTTTCTTCGTACACTGCAAACCTTGCTGCATTCCTGACCCTAGGTAATTATTTTTTGGAAGCTCTGAGCCGGAAGGAAAAAAACCGACGATTCCAGAGAAAATGACCCCGCCCATAGAATCAGTGGAGGACCTCGCTAATCAAAATAAGATACTTTACGGCGTTGTCAAAGGCGGTTCGACAGCTGCATTCTTCGAGGTGAAAAGTTCTCTATGGTCAGAAGAATATGTTCAGCTTATCACTTCGTTATGCAGGACTCAACAGTTCCACTGTACAAGAAGATGTGGGACTTCATGCAGGATGAGCACAACAAGTTTCTCAGGAATCAAGTGTGAGGCTTCACATTTTTTTGCACGAAATATAATACAGGGTGGGCCAAAATTATGAGGACCAAGACATTGTGTCGTTAAAAACGCATAGTAGCTTGATGGAACAAACAAACTTCAGGGAAGTGTTTGTAACTCTTATCTCAAAGTAATTCCAGAATAGAATTGAGATCTGCCACCTGCCCCGTTTACACGAGCCTTCAGATGAAGGGGATGGCGCGTGCGGTGGCACGCAACTGAGGCGTGTCAAAATGTTTCCAGGCCTTCTGCTCTGCTTTCTTCAGGGAATCAAAGTTTTGTGGGCATTTATTTGCGCTTGCCTCCAGGGTGTAAAATACAGAAATCTAGAGCTATTAGGTGGAAGGTTCCATTGTAACAATTCTTCGAAAGCAACGAACTCGAAAAATCGCTTTTTAGAGAATTTTTGCTTTATTCTTGGGTGCTCGGTCCTGTAAAAAGTCCCAAGTAGACTACTCGAGTGGCTTTCTATCCACTACAGATGTGGAGTCTTTAGAGTGTCTGGCTGGGTTTTCACATCAATTTTTTCATTTTGGGTGTACGAAAGTCGACAAGGGGAGACCTAGTTTCTGCATCTGATAATTATCCTGGTGGTAACTGTAACTTTCGAGTCCCGAATTTTCCATCTGTGGTGGTTCCAAACTTATTGAAGAGTTGAACTGTTGCTCATAAGAGCTTCCCTGATACGTTAGACTGCCGCTAGATGTAACGTGCCAGAGCCCCTAGTGAGTTCAATTTGAGGACTGACGTAAGGTGATGTAGTTATTTCACTAGTTTTGAGAACTGCATGAAATTTGGTTTCATTAGGAAGAAGACATTGTACCCTCTCACATAGTGCACAGAAAAGGAGATGAAAATGGAGCGATCGGAAAAAAAGTGGATATGACTGCGCGCGCACGCGGTCCTCATAATTTTGGACCACCCTGTAATTCGGTTGTATCTTTTTCACTAAACGCAATACGCTTTGCAGTTACATTGGTTACCAACAAAATTTAGTTCTCTAAAGATTTTGTAACGAGAGTTGCATTTTTATTCGTATTTTTTGAGGGCCCAGTCAGTATTTGTGGACACTTACGCGGAAGGCATCGAACGGGTCAGAAGCAGTAAGGTTTGTTCTTGAAATCAATATCAACATCCAAACTTCTACTCCTTCCCAGTAAATTTTGGTTATTCTTTTGGTAGAAATTTTTTGCACAAAATCACCCTTGTAAAGATTCAGAAAATGGCTGCAGACAGACGTTGATAATTCCAGAACCGAGTTGAACCCTTCCGTACAAAACATTTCGGTACACATGAAAGTTGGGGTCTGATTGGTACGGTAGGGAGGTAGCCACGAGGACGGCCTGATGCTGACGAAATGGGGTCCTCGTGCAGCCTTTTGATTTTTGATGCTGAATTCGTTGCGCGACATTTGGCACCATCAACGCGCTCAGCCTCTCCACACCAGGGCCAGAGCCCCAGATAGAGGAAGCCACTACTAAGGAACTACTAAAGGTGAAATTCACGATAGAAGAGGCGAAGGGGGGCAATTGCCGGGTAAAGGAATCTTCGCGGAAAAAGCTCCGCCTCCATTACCACAGAAAAACGATACCTTAGGCCCCTAGCCTCATGAGCATAGCAAAAAGAACGGAACATAAGCGTTAGTTTCGATAATACTAATCCTACACACAAGACAAAATGATCACTCTTTCCGTGGAAGATTCCTTTAAGGTATCGTGAGTACGCTACTGGGAATTTTATGCCAAATGGGATGTTTTGATTATTAAGCTGCTTGTTATATCACTTGCCTCAATAGACAGGAACGAGCACGTTCCATCAATCCTAACTGTGTATATCGCATGGTTGACAACTGTTGCGCAAACTTTCAACTAGGGGATAATTACTTTATCTTGACATGCCTCGCACTTGGTAAATTGAGCACTGGTTTCTGGGTTATAAAGGAAAAACGAAAAAAAATTAATTACAGACAGATCTTTATATAAGGAACACTCCAGAAGTGGATCTAATTCCTGCTAAACGTTAAGCGGTGTAATCGAGAAAAATTATCATTTTTTGTAAAATTTGACACATTCTATAGGGTGAGTCAAAATTACGGTAGCAAGCTAAAGTAGGAGTGGGAAATACATACATACTCCGGCTAATACACAAGGGGTACAAAGTGTTACGGGAAGTTATCAAACAGAGTACAACATTACTTTTCGGAGGAGTCTGCTTGATACACGAGGGAAGTCATTTCGGAAACCTTTTTGTACGTGTTATGTAAGTGAGGTGGTGTCGAGCTTGCTCCATGTTTCTTTGAAGTGAAACGTCCGTTCGGAGGTGCTAAGAGTTAGTCCCTCCAAGAGTGAGCAAGAAAGTTCCCCAGCGCAGTAGGCGGACACCGTCGCGACTCAAAAGGGCAAGGCAACGGCGCTAAGGCCTTGCCTGTGTTATGCTGTTGCTGGCCATCACCTCTCGGTACAACTTGCTGCCCTCTATTTCTTTTCTTCGTCTGTGACTCCCCGTCAAACCGAAACCTGAAAAGGGAAATCTCAGTGTTCCGTGTGACGATTTGCTCCTCATTGTACGTCCTCATCGCCTATCCTCCATTTCCCAAACAAACAATCACACTCGATCCATCTCGTTAAGCTCTTTACAAACCATCGCGGACCCACTTTAATAACAGTAGGCCAGAGTATCAGTTCCAGTAAACCTGTAGCAACACTTACGAAAACTTTCGATCCACTTCACCTGCAGCCAGGTCCAGCGGAGGATCCATGGACTTTTCTCGAACATCTCTCGAGCAGGTGCGCGATTGAGTTTGAAGAGTTCGAAACAGATCAACACGCCGCTCTGGGTTAAACATGTGCCAGCTTATAGCCCAGAGATGACAATGAATAGGAATTTACTTGTTCAGGGAAGATACGCGTTCCTGTTGGAAGAGACGACCAACAACTATGAGGGAGGTCGGAAAACCGTGTAATACAATGAAAGTTGGTCAAAATCTCAACACACTCGGTTATGGAATCGCCACAAAAATCGGAAATCCGCTAGATAAGTTGTCTAAACTTCTAGTAAACCCAACGATCAACGAGAATGATTAATTATGGAAAACTACCTGAAAAACTAGTAATGGCATTGAGACGATTTGTTTTAAGGGTTCTCTCAATCTGGCGATCCTTTACCTTCAAGAGAAGGGTGAATTGAAGCGGCTGGAGAACAAGTGGTGGTATGATCGAGGGCAATGTGATCAAGGCATATCGGTAGGGTCAGGCAATTCACGGTCAGATTTA